TAAAAAGCCTGCTGACAGCCGGGCAGTAGTGGCACACACCTTTAACTCCAGGAGGCAGAGGCAGGTGGATCTATGGGAGTTTGAGGGCAGTCTGGTCTAAGGAGCTAGTTCCAAGATAGCTAAGGCTACACAGAGAAACTCTGTCTGAAACCCCCTCACCTTCAAAAAGAAAAAAAATTAAAAATAAAATAAAAAGTCTATTGAAATAAAGCCCCATTTTGAATAAACACACAATTATTTAGTATTCTATTAAAATTAGTTCCTAGTAAATACAATGACAGAAACACTGTTTTGATAACTTTGCAGTTTTAATATTTTAAGCCATTCCTATTTGAAAATTAATCCCTGTTGCCTATTAATACTATAAATGTTGATTCAAAACAGCAAACAAGCATCTTTAAATAAGGAAATTTAAAATAGATTAATAGAAAAAGCTTTTCCAACCCAATAAAACTTATTTTAAAAATAACGTCTGGTGTAACTAATCTGTGTTTCTACTTAGTGAGAGATTATAAATACTATACATGTAAAGAGAGGGGTGTGCTATTTTTTTTAAATCTACATGTCAGTTTGTTGGGAAAGTAACATTCAAACCCCTATTTTCTAACTTTAAACAAAACTAAGAAAAGTAGGCAAAGAAGACGGTCAGCTAAGTTCTTCATACACATACAACTTCACAGAAAGGCTTTCAATGAGATGGGGACATTTGCTGCATACTACTAGCATTGACAGTAGGCTTCAAACCAATTCAAACAGAAACATAGCTCAAGAACATTCTGAACTGAATTGCTTAAAACCCATTTAGACATTCTCACACTAACTTAAATTTTACCTGAAAAGGCAGCTAATATAGGAAAAATATAAACAGGCATTTTCAAGAAAGCTACAAATGCAGAAGCCTTGATTTAAAAGAATATTTTTATATACGTGAATGTGTTTATGAGTATATAAATTTAGTGAAATGAGCCACTAAAATGCCTCATATTGTTCTTTTCATGCAGCACTTGCTCCCTTATAATCAGCCCTTTGTTAATATGCAGATGCAGGACTGGTCGTGAGAGGTGTGTTCTCAGCATCAGAGGTCCAAGACCATTGGTTGAACAACAGAGAAGAAAGGGCTTTCTTAATATTTAACTCTCCTCTGGGCTTTCCACTCACATTAGCTGACCTCTGCAAACACCAGTGAACAGTTAAGTTCTGCCAGATTCCAGGTCTGGGTGCAGGGCTGTCCTCCTGCATATGTCTTGCCTGACTACATGTTAAATGTTTGATGGAGGACTTTGCCCAACAGAAATGCACATGCATGTACACAATTTTATGCTGACCACGTTATGATCCTTCTTTTACTCAGGCCATGATTTTTATCTTTTTTTAAGTTATATAAAAATAGGACTGTGTAGAATGAACTATTTTATACCAGGCTTCTTTGTTCCACATCTAGATTTGTGAGATAAATAAATTACTACTTTATATTACTGATATTATTAGAAAATCACACAAATTGTCAGTGCAGTTTTGATATAAATAATATTTCATGTGTGCTTTTCAAAATGCAAAGAATTAAGATAGTATAAACTTGTTTTGTGTCACCTTTTGAATTTTGTTGCAAGAAAGGAGTTTGAAAAAGTTGTTAATCAAAAATGTTTTAAACACCTCCTAAATACTTCAATTTCCATACTACTTCATGCCTTATTAATTTTAGTTCCCACAACTTAGCATCAGATTTGATGAATACAGGAATATGAAAAGGGAATAAAGTAACCCTGCCATCTACATACATCTGCTGAGATTTTTATTTATGTATGTATTTATCTAGTTATGTTTGGTCTGAGACTCAAGCCCAGTCCTTTCTATGATGACCAATTTTAACTACCTAAAGAATAAAAGGAGCAATTGTATTGCAGTATCAATCCTTCAAACAGGAACAGTATATTGTTCTGTGGCATCCAATCACTTTCTGGATGTATAGTCTATTGGTTATCCCATATCATTGAAAAATAAAAAACACATACAATTCATGACAGTTACAGTTATTATATACATCAAGTATTAAAACTACTTTCTATAATAAAATGAAACAGGAAAGAAAAATGATCAAACCACATAGAGAACGAAAATACAGAATGGTAGCAGTCAGCAACATTAAGATACTTTCAGATCCTAACAGTGGTGACATGTGAGCTCTCTAGAGTTAGCATTTAAAGTGAGAGACTGAGTGCAGTCTCTGACGGCTAGTCTTCATGATCAACATTAGTGCATGGAGAATCACCCAGAAGACTGACTGGTGAGAGGACTGGTAGGCATATCTGGAACAGCATCTCCAGAAGACTGACAGAACAAGGCAGACACACCCGGAGCATGATCAGCACCAGCCCAATGGCTGGGCACTCCTGTAGAATCCAAGGGGAAAGGGGAGCCAGCAGAGCACAGGCACACTTGTTTCTGCTTCTTCCTGCCAGCAAGTGACCTGCTCTTGCTCTTCCACACCTTTCCTGACACAATGGAAGAAACCTCTAGAGCCAGGAACCAATAGGTCTTTCCTAAGTGACTAATATGTGATCCAAAGTGTCCCTTTGGATAATATTAGCTTTGACATATCAAGTTGAAATTGAAACCAAAGACTAAAGTGGCCATTTCAACTGTTTAAAGAGAGGATCAACACCATCTCATATACTACCCAGCCCTTTACATCTCTGACACAACTATGTCACAATAAAGTCACACAATTTCCCCTTAACATCGCATTCATTATATAGCATCCAATTAACAGGATTACATGTACATGGTTACAAAATTCTGGGATGGAATTCTATGAGAGAGTCAAAAGACCTAGGATGGGGGTGAAGACACAGGAGGGATGTGCCTGAAAAGGCGAGGCATCAAGGGGAGACAAGCATTCTGAGGAAGATAAGAGATGGAAAGGAAATGAGGCTGGTCACGGAGGGCAGGATCTCCCGACAGGACAAGATCAAAACCCAGGAGAGCTTCCCATGTGCCCACACTCTGTGAAATCAGGTAAAGAGCTCCCCCTGTCTGACAGGCCTGCTATTAGCAATCCACCTTTCTGATTATCCCTTACGTTTTTAAATTCTTATGCTAAACCCACTAGATGTTCAAATATGAACTTACATACTTCTGCTTTGCCTGCCATCCTTAACTATCCATTTAACTGCACATACAAAACAGCCCTTATTAAATGAACTGAAGGAAGAATACCTACATGAGTACATAACACCATGGTCTAAACACCAGATTATTTTTACCTTTCGGCATATTTAATCAAGGGGAAAAAAAGCTTTCGAGAATTCAAGGCAAGTTTTTACACATTAAGGCTGCAAAATGAAATCATACATAAGCCAACAAAACAGTACAATTCTTAGATCAATAAGAGTTAGCAGTCACTCCTTGGAATATTCCCCATCTGGAAAATAGCCAGCTTCTGCTATTTACCCTGGAGTTCCACATTCACGATGACATCCTCTGTTATTTTCCACCTTGGTTATTGCTGTTGTGCTGGGCGCTAAACTCTTAAGACTATCAGTCAAGTGCTCGAAATGAAGGCACTGACTACCTAGGGGATGGAGGGCAAGAATCTACCAGGGAATTTTACTTAAAGTCCAAAATAGTTTTAAAAAATCCAAATAAAATTTGTTATTTTGGTATGGCCCTTTCAAGCCCTTGATGAGTGTTAGTCTTGTAATGAATCAAGATGACAATTTAATGCTTAATGAGTATAATTGCTTGCCTTATGATCCCCCTTTATGGCATATGGTTCATAGTTGATGTGAACAAATAAGCAATAAGTCCTTGTGTAGATAAAAACATTACTTCTTGTGATGTCACAGTACATAAATTATTATAAGATGTTGTTTAGCAAGTAAGCCAATGCATTTTACTAATAAACACAGTAAGGGGAAGAGCTGGGCAGTCTTCCCAGGGAGAATGTGATACAAGGCATGCTTGATGGGAGGCCTTTGGTGCAGTTCTGAAAATGCCTGCGGTTTAGAGGTTTGGGGAAGAAAACAAATTAGCTAGGCACATTGACCTCAGGGGAACACCCCTGCCCCTCGAATCCCCTGGATCAGGTGCCACACTGATCTTTCTCCAGTAAAATTCCTTCTGCTCTGTACTGCCACTGCCAAATTTCTTAAATAACCTACCAAATGGTTACATGATCCTCTGGGAATGTGCTTTCTTACATTACCTGACAAATGGTAAGAACTGAGTATTTATTAACTAAATCAGTATTTTTCAGCTAAAACTTTCACAATAAAAAACAGTCAAATAGTCCACTCAACCTATGTAAGCGGATGGGAAAAGCAAGTTCTAACACCATGCACCTTCATGCATGGGGTAAGTAGATAAAGTCCTTCCTAAACAATGCTTAGGTAGTAATCCATTTGTGAACATAACAACTAAAACACTTTATTACCCAACAAAATCTGCACAGTGATTTCTAAAGGACCTAAGACCTAAATCTCATTTTGTAAAAATGTGTTTCCACTTAAGAGGAAGAGGGCATCTGAAACTACTAAGTTTTTTCTCTCATTCCTATCACTGAAAAACAGCTGAACTGGTTTTTCTGTTGAAAAAAAAATCAACTAGTAGACTAAGTCTGAAAACAGAGAGCCATGATGGGAAAGCAATGCGAAGTAACGCCCTAGAAGGCTATTGTGAACTCGACACCCACAGCCTAGCTAATGGCTCTCAGTGTAGTATGAGCGACTTGTCTGTACTTTAGTGTTGTTTTATTTTCTGTGTGCAGTCAATGTGCCTGCCAGGACGGCAGGACACCATGCATCCATGACCCACAGAGGCCAGAGGGCCTTGGGCTGCTCTGGCACTGAAGTTAGAAAGTTGTCAGTCACTGAGCGGGCGCTGAGGATAAAACCCAGGTCCTGGGCAAGAGAAATGGTCCTCTCAAACACTGAGCCATCTCTCCAGCCCCAAGTAAGAACAGCTTTCAAAACATTTATATTTTGTAATTTTTTTTTACTCACTTCAAAGCTTCCTCAAATTTAGTGATCTTCCTCTGAGCATCTTCTTTCTCTTTATCAAGTTCACTCTGCAACTCATGGACCTGCCGAGAGATTCCAAGAAACTCACTGGAAGACAAGGGTACTGAGAGACACAAATAACAATCTCAAGTCCATTGGAATATAAATTCAGACTTAGGTCTTTCATGGCAGAAACCTGCTTAACCATAGAATAACTTCATTGTTCTACTCCCAATGTAACTTTTTAATTAAAAGCTAATAATTATATTTGCTTAAAATGAATTGGCATACATAAACTTCAAAAATGCACCAACCACTTTGATATTTTTTAAGTATCATAGTTTTGACAAAGGAATTTAAAAGACTAGAATAAATGATATGTCTGCATTAACCAAATATAGAAGGGCTATTATGAAATTCTCCATTGTTGAGCATGACTTGTGCACACATTGACCATGTTTGGAACAAAATCTCCATCATGACTGCCTCTTTCCTGCATGCAGCAACCTGGGAGTAGGTGGGACTCACTTCAGTGTTGGATCACTTACAGACCTTCTAGACACCACTGTAGGACTGAACATGAATCTGACGGGGGTGAGATGAACGGAAAGACAAGATACACACCACACACACACTGACACACCATCATCGCCATCATTACCACTCCCAACTACCACCCTCTGACACACACTTTAAATCTATGTCACACACTGCAATGGAATTAACCCAAAGTAGTTAGGTATTTTTAATCAGTTTGGTTGAGGACCTATTTAACTCAAATCCCACATTTTCTGGACTTTCTTTTTATATTCACCTTGAATTTTTCCCTATGTGTAAGGAAAATAAATTAGTAAAATCAACTATATTCTTGTAAACTAATAGCAGTGAGGCCAGAGAGGCTTCTGTGACGGCAACCACTAAGTCAGGACCCGAGGAGTGGAGGGTTTGCATGCTGAGGTAATGAGTGACTAGAACCAGCAGACAGCACCCCTTCCTGGTACTGTAATGATCAACTTAAAATATCTCAGAAATAATATTTTTCTTATAATCAGAAGAACCACTTCACCTTGAAAATCTTTACCACTAAATTTATTTACATAGGAAAAAATTTACATAAGGAAAAAGGAAAATATGTTCACCATTTGCCAGGCTCAGACTTCAAATGCTGTCTCACTTCTTATAGGTTCTCGGATATATATTACAATGCTTGGTATATAGTAAGCATGTTAAATTAGAATATAAACAAACTTTACACATTAGGCATATTTTTTAGAAACTCTAGCAAGAATTACAGGATGAGTTTAAATGGTCATATTCCTATTTCTCAAGTTATTTAGCACACTGTGTCTCAGTCCTTCAACAAATGGGGATCAACAATAACCATATCAAAGTATTCTGATAAAAGTGAATTACTTCAGGCAAGGCTCTTATTAATACGAGAACATAAGAAAATCTCAATGATAAAAATTATAGATACTATTTCAGATTGAACACTAAAGTACTTTTGGTTACTCTGGGTCATTATGAACAGCAGTCCAATGTGTACAGTACACAGGCTGCTTGCCTTTACATACAGCAGACCCTGAATTGCCAAGCAACCTTAGTTCTTCTAAGTGCTCTGTATCGCTCGCTATACAGTCTTAACCGGTTTCAAATTTGGGCTTCCACTTCTTAATGCTGGTTAGTGTGTGACACATGTACCTGGATAAAACAGTTCTAAGACTGTCAGCCCCATTTTTGAAGGGAGAGGGAGCTACCTGAGTGGGGCAGAAGGAGTCCCCTCTTGGCAAGAATCCATGCATTGATGCACATGCTCTTAAGCTGGTTCTCACTCAGGTCACTATCTGTGTGACACGTCCTGACCTACACCAGAGCAGGCATTAAAGGACATTCTGGACTTGTTTTCTCTTCACAGAATATGTGAGTGTTGCATGCTTGAGATCTTTTTTTTTTAATTGTAACTTTATTTTGATCTATATTTCAGGTATTTGTAGATAATATTCAATTAAATACCTGCAAGTAATCAATGTATACTGATTTTGACGGACGACTATAGCTTAATATTTGTGTTGGCAATATTATATATATGATTTTTACATAAAACTATGAAACAACATAAAGGTAATCTACATTTTATTTTTTCCCACTTATATTCTATTTATTTATTTATTTATTTTTAACACAGAGTAATGCTATGTTGCACAAAGGTAATGTGGAGTAAGATTTAAATGTTTTACCTCTAATCTTTCCTCAATATGTAGTTAATAATGAACTATACTATTTAAGGCAGTTAAGGCACTTAGTTTACTACCAAACATGAGAATTTACTGTAATAGTTGATTTCAGTAGCCATAAGCACGTTTGTTGAACACATGATAGATATACTCTTTCATCCCCCAAATTTAAAGAATCAAGAAATGAGGGGGAAAAAAAACCCACGGTTGAATTTGTCATAGCAAAGAGCACAGGGCCAGGGTTGGTCCCCAAATCAACCACCTGGACAACACTGCCTCTTAACTTCTCTAATCTCCATAGCCCAGTATTTAAAATATGGGTGACCTCATTGCATGACTTTATTAAGTACTGTAACAGCACAATTTCATTTCTCTTTTTTAACTTTGGGGAAGGATAAATATAATTATACAAAGTACACAAGAATGCTAAGCACTGGAAAACTGTACTTTAGTGTTTAGAACTTACATTACATTTGTCAAGAGTTACGGCAAGACTTTAGGGAGGTAAGTGAAGTCTAGCACATTTTAGCTTGAGCATGTAGCATCTGCCTGTGTTCTTCTGTGGGCAAACAGCACCATCACTCTTTACTCTCAGTGCCTGTTTGGAAAACAAGCACTAGGTTATTTGTAGGAGGCAGGTGTTTCCTTACTAGTAAAATCATTTACTCTAGCCATTTCCTGATTTAACAGATTAGGACACTTCATCAAACAATGACGTTTAGTTTTATGGCCTATTATTTGTTTGATGTTCAAAGATCTGAAGACCAGGCAACAGTCACCAGAGATCAATAAAGACCATGAGATAATATGTGTGTGCTTAAATTAGGGACAGCATCTGAGCTGTTCCTTCCACCTCAAAGACTAGTGGGATGGTATGCTCCCACCCTGCTGCTTTCGCACTGGCATGAGGAAATAATGTCATTCAGATGGCATTTCCTCCTTCTGAACAGATATTCAGAACCACATTTTATACGGAAAGTTATTGAATGTGCACACCTGTAACATTCTCCAAACAAAAGCCCTATACATCCCATTCAGCTATCAGGTTACACAGTCCAGGCCTCCGTGAGATTTATGTCAGCTCTTTGAGCTGTCAGAAGAATATTCCCTCGGGGGGTACAAGACATCAAATCTTCAAGGCTTGTGATCCCAGCAGGTTTAATAAAGAAAGAAGAACAGATGTCAATTTAAAAGGGGGAGACTATGGAATTAATTGTGAAACAAAAAGTGACACACTGATCAACCTTTTCTTTCAATATAAACAATATCAGTAATGATTGCAATATGAACAAATGCAGTTATTTTTCTTCTAGAGATTATTTTAAACAAGTCATATTTATACTGAGAACCGCAAAATGGATTCTGGTTATTTTATTTAAAGTGAGGTCAACTGACAGCTCTTGGAAAGCGAATAGCTGCAGTCACCACACCTACTAAAGAGGTTTCATTCTCCTTTCAGGCGTGAACTGCAGCAGGAATTGCCAGCAGGTTGATGATAAGGATGGAATTATTACAGACACTTAGGCATTGCCTTTCCTAAAACAATGCATTGACTCCCCTCTTGACCTCAGAAGAGAACAAAAGTCAAGATGAAAGTGTGGCCTCTCCATCTTTGTTTTGCATCTGCCTCCTTTCTTTCAGGTCACTCAGTTATCATGGTTCCTCATCCAAGACAAATCTATCTAACAGCCAGTGTTACCTAATGTATCTCAGTGACTTTCAAACCAAAACCACAACAACAAGAGTAACGGAGGGATCTTACTGTCAGTTTTATATTGTCCTTGATCCAGACCCCACAAAAAAGCTAAACAGTTTCCAGTTATTGTTCTGAAACTTGGACTCCAAGAACAGCAGAGCCTAGCAGGACAGAGCCTTGGAGCACAAACAAGCTTCTCCAAGAAGTCAGCTTGTCCCCTCAAGCAATAAAGACTTCTTCAAATCATCCTCAAAACTAGAGCTGAGATATTGACCACAGGGTGATCGGAACTACTTAACTATGTATACTATTTGCTGCCTCCCTCCCCCACATAATGCTTCCTCTGTCTAAGCCTAAAGCTCATGTTCATGCCCAGAACATGGGCTGGGTTCACTGAGCCACTTTTCTTGTTCCACTGATTAAGTCTCCTTTGGTTTTCACTACTACTTGACTTTGCAGTGTGTTAGGAGGTAGCAAAGCCTTTTTTCTGCAAATGCTGCAATGTGGGCTTTTACCCTAAGCTCCAATGGCTAAAACCTCAAGGAAACAGTAGGAAAAAAGGCTATCTGGGTCTGTCTCTCCATGGCACACTTCTCAGGTGTGCCTTGCTCCTAGACACCAGTCCATCCTATTCCACAGGCCAGGAGATCAGAGGAAAGTTGGCACAAACAGCAACAGAGCATTGGGCCAGAAAGAGGTTCCATAATGGAAGATAAGCCAGAGGTCTTCCCAGGGCACAGTGGATGAACAGTACACCCATACTAACCTAACCCAGTGCCTTACACACTAGACAAAACTTCCAGGTTTGTTTGTTTTTTTGTTAATCAAAATATTTAGGGAACTACATTTTTCAGCAATAGAAACTGAAATACTTCAATAAAAATTATTTTCTCTTCCTATCCAGATACCATTTTTAGATATAAAATATACTAAACAACTTGCATTGAATTAGAATGAATAAGAAAATAATTACAATTATTCGTAATAAAAATAAAAAGCACATAATCATAGATCAACAGACATAAGAAGAAATCCTTTTTTGCAAATGGTGACCACACTTTCTCCTATGCATCTCTTGGATGTGTTAAGCTCTTGGAGGGCAGAGTGCCTAACTATTTCCAGTCTCATCATATTAGCTAACAGGATGACTTGTCCAATGTGAGCATTGAAAGGATATCTATTGAGAAACTAGCTGGACACAAAAGATGTGTTACAAAATGGACTGAGAATGCCACCATACATGCCAAGGTTAGCTTTAGTTTATATATATTTTAATGGAAGGGTAAACCTCATTCTATATTATATGCATATTTTATAAGTGGATTCATTTGGGAAATATTAAAATAACAAAACTATCAATAAAACCTTTGTTACTTCAACTACTTTTACTTTCCATGTCTTATAGTAAAATATTTCATAATTGAAAAATATCAGTCACATATCTATATATTGCTATCTAAAGTATTAATAACCTTTTAGTTACTGCTGATAATAGGAATGTTAAAATACATTGATGAAAATATGCATGATTCTGACTACTAAGAAACTGTTATGTTTAAGTAGTCAATGCTTTCACTGATTTAGGGTTCTTTGATTACACATTCAAAGTTTTTATTCCATGGATGATACACAAGGATGCAATGTAAATCCCAATTACTTCAACCTTGTAGAAATAAAACATTAAGGTGTTTGTAAGCACAGTTCAGTCAATGATACTCTTCACTCATTCAACAGAACACAAAAATAGAGCCTTAATGTTGGTGTTCGAACCAAAGACACTGTTCATAAACATGAAAACATTGATTATATTGGTTAGATGAAATTTCATTAGACACAAGTAATTTTTTATAGGATGGAATAAATACATTACTTTAATAAATCAGCTCCCCTTAAATGCTTAAGTTGTTATCTTAAATGTTATAATTTCCAATCAAATGTATTACCTTTTTCTCATAGGTATGTTTTAAATGATTCCTCTCCATGTGAAACTTATTTTCTTGATCCTGTGAATGATAAATGATTATTTTAGTATGTTTAATATTACCTCTAACATCAATAAAATTAGTGACCCAACAAAAGGAATGAATGTACTTGACATCAAACTTCTCTTCAAAGTTTTGCATGTTGTTTATCACTAAGAGAGCCCTAAGCACCCAATTTTCTAAGTCACAAGAAGGGACAGCAGCAGCTTTACATTACAAGACATAAAACCTCAGCTGTATGAAGATGCTGCTGTCCTCAAGTACAAGAATCACTGTGACCTTTAAGATTATTAGAAGACTAGGAATGAGCAACTAAGTCAAAATGGCAAGGATATGAAGTTACTTCATATCCACATTCTTGATGCTCTTTGAGAGAAAAATAATGCTATGAGAAAAAGAGAAAGGGAAGGGAAAACAAGGGAGTTTGAAAACTTAAAAGGGAAAATTTTTCTAAACTAATACATTTACATAAGACATTTTTCTACATCAAACAAAAATTTGATAGCTTCCTACACTAAGATGTAGAAAGAATAGCAAATAATGTATACATATTTATGTAATTTAATACATCCCCTAATCACACCAGTGATGATACACATTATTGAGTATATACCAAATAATAAACACTAGAACCTAATTTTTAAAATATTTAACAAAGGGGCTGGAGAGATGGCTCAGCAGTAAAGAGCACTGGCTGCTCTTCCATAGGACCCAGGTTCAATTCCCAACGCCCATATGGCAACTCACAACTGTCAGTAACTCTAGTTCCAGGGCATCTAATACCCTCACACAGATGTGAATGCATGCACAACACCAATGCACATAAAATAAATCTTTAAAAATTATTTAATTTATATTTAATACACTATTATTTTATACATTTAATATATTTTAATAATTTATTTTCAATTAGGACACAACGTATGGATATCATTGTGGCATTTGAACAAAGACTTTAGTAGACTGTCCTTCCCTCTCACATTCCCCGCTCCTCTGCTACTTATAGCCCTCCAACCCCGTCCTCACCCTGTGTCTTTTCCTCATTCATGCTCCATAAACACTTTTTCCAGCCCCAGCTACCTTTACCGTGCCTTGGTGCTCCTTTCCTGTATTTTAGGTTTTACCAACATTCCTACACACACAGATGTACACATTAAGGGCTAGGAACTACATATATATGAGAGAAAATATCCAGGACTTATATCTATACATTTGGGTCATCCTAGTTGATATTAGAAGTTCCAATTTCATCTACTTCCCTGAAAATTTCAAGATCTCATTCTTAAATCATTCAAGTAGTTTATTTACTTATAAACTAATCTCAAAAAAGAGATCTTTCAAATCAGCTGTCTTTTATTCTCTATATCAACATCTACAACTGTGAGGTGAACGCCAGGAACACAACTAGAGACGACTACGTCCACAGTCATCTAAGTTACTTTTTTAATTGACTCTCACTTCTGAACACAGATCAAGAAGGTAAAGGAACTGGATCACTGATCTGGCTAACAAACAAGACTTACCTTTGCTTGCTGTTTCCTCTGATGCTCTGACTCCTGGACCTGCTGTTTTAACTGACAGATGTTCTGTTCTAACTCTTCAATTACACCAGATGTCTGTGAGGATTGCAGAACAGAGAGCAGAACACTGACTTTTGTACCGTTCTACACTTCTGGCTGACATAAAGCCTATCATTTACCTCTGAAAGTTCAGTCAGAATTTAAGTTATCTATAAACCTGAATAAAAAAAATTTAAACATAATTTTAAACTAAAATCTACTTTAAGTATACTGCATGAGTCAATGAGCTGAGCAGTAACTAGACTACCAGTTGAAAACAAGAATTAATATTTTGAAGTAAAAATGTAAATTAAAATCTGTGTAGTATTTAAAGCTATGAAAATGTAACACTCAATTAAAATTCTATAGAAATTTTTAAAAGTTAAAAATAAGAATAAAATAAAGCAAACATTTCAAAGTAACAGCACTGTATGTGTGCAGTAGCACTTCAGGAAGCTGTTTTTCAGAGTTCCTCCTTAAAACTTCAGCATTTACCAGGGCATGTGTTGAGCAGAACCGGGCTATTAAGTGCTATGTGAGCTACAACACCTTCAGCGTTTTCCGTGTTCCAACAGCAGCAAATGTTTTGAAGTCTTGTGATTTCAAGAACAATATGTAAAGAGGGCTAATTTCAAAAGGAAATGATTGGCTGCTCCATTGCTGTCCACTGCTGAACACTCATGAAACGTGGTTACCCACATGTACAATACCTTAGAAGCTGTGTAAACGTGGTTACTCACATGTACAATACCTGAGAAGCTGTGGGAACGTGGTTACCCACATGTACAATACCTTAGAAGCCGTGGAAACGTGGTTACCCACATGTACAATACCTTAGAAGCTGTGGGAATGTGGTTATCCACATGTACAATACCTTAGAAGCCGTGGAAATGTGGTTACCCACATGTACAGTACCTTAGAAGCTGAAAGCGCGTGCTCTTGTTTTAGAAGGTTTATGTCGGAATCATATTTGGTTTTTAATAATTTCACATTTTGCTCATAATCATTTGCCAGATGTTCTTTCTCTTTATGTAGTATGTTACGCCTAAAACAGTAGGATAAAAAATAACTTTCTATATTTTTGGAACCATTCTCTAAAATGGATATCTTAGTCAACTAAATTCAAGTATATTATCTTTCAATATATGAAGTAAGTATCCATATTTCATCAACAGGTTTCAAACATTATGTTCTAAAATACTTTTAGAAATGTGTAAACAATCCGTTTTAGGTGGGACCATCCTAAGACATACTGCACAAGTGTGCCTGACTCATTTACAAGGTCAGTCAGAGCACTGTGCCCCACAGACACTGGCTCAGCACTACCTTGTCTTTAGCTCCTGGAGTTCACTACATGTTATCTGGTAGCATCGCTCAAGCTCCATTTTTTCTTGAACCAGTTTCTGCCTTTGTAAATTGCTGTTCTCTGCCTCCCCCGTCAGCTGCTGGACACGGCCCTCCAGTTCTTTGATCATGTGGTTCTGAAAGAACAAGTCGTTAGGAAAGTCTCTAACTAGCTTTTCAAGCATGTGGACCAGTGAGTACTCTGAAGAAACATACTGCCTATTAGAATAATAAGAACAAGCCAAAATCAATATTAGAAAAAGATAAATCTTTAAACTAACCAAAACTTTTAAAAACCATTTTTTTAACCATAAAATTACCAGCATGCTTATACATATTCAACCATTCACTCATTCATGGAATGTTTACTAAGTCAGACAATTTTCCATGTGAGCAAAGAAGACAAGGCCCACTCTTCAGATAGCCCCCAATCCCACTGTGCCCCTCATTATAGTTTAGATTTGCCCTTTTCTCTCATGGTTTTAATAATGATATTTCAAAATAAAATCCATAACCCTCTATATTAATGCCAGGAATACCACATAACATATTCATGATTAGCAAGTATACAGAAATGTTTTATCCCATAACTCCTAACTCATTTTATCTGTAATGGTTTTCCTATTTCAATTAAAGCAGTTCTTTATTTTTCGAAAACATCATTCAAATAAATTGCCTCTTTATTAATTGGCATTTAAATTATTTTGAATTCATCACTTTGGCAGGACTGCTTTTAAAGCCTAAACAAAGGTGCTTATAAGCTTCTAGAAGCTTCATTCTACACAGTGCCAGACCAGCGTTAGTTGAGAGACAACTGGTTTCCATTTTTACAGCTACACCTTTAATAAGTGCAAGTAGGAAAGCTTAGTGTGGCTTTTCTTTTCTACTGTTTTTCTATGGCACAGAGTTAAGACAAAGTTTAAACATTACTGTTAAAAACCAACACCTTTAATCATTTTTACCTTTTCTTCATTATAAAACTGAACAGAAAGCCAGGAGGTGGTGGCGCACGCCTTTAATCCTAGCACTCGGGAGGCAGAGGCAGACGGATCTCTGTGAGTTCGAGGCCAGCTTGGTCTACAGAGTGAGTTCCAGCACAGTCAGAGATACACAGAGAAACCTGTTGCGAAAAAAATATACATGGCGTTATGCCTAACGTTCTCCAAACTACCCTGGCTTCCTACAGTAACTGTGTGACACAAAACCTAGAAGGACTCCTCTGGTCTCCAGTTTGAAGGGGTGGAATCAAGGGCATCTGCACTCCTTCTTTCTGGAAACTGATGAAAAAGAAAGAATAGGATCATGAATTATAGGCTCAAAGACCTTTAACTATGGCTAGAATCCACTAATGAGTGAGTACATACCATATTCCTCTTTTTGGGTCTGGGTTACCTCACTCAGTAAAGCGTTTTCTATTTCCATCCATTTGCATGCAAAATTCAAGATGTTATTGTTTTTTACCGCTGAGTAAAACTCTAATGTGTATATGTTCCACACCTTTTTTAACCATTCTTCTATTGAGGGGCACCTAGGTTGTTTCCAGGTTCTGGCTATTACAAATAGTGCTGCTATGAACATAGTTGAACAAATGCTTTTGTAGTATGATAGGGCATCTCTTGGGTATATTCCCAAGAGTGGAATTGCTGGGTCCTGAGGGAGGTTGACTCCCAGTTTCCTGAGAAACTGCCACACTGATTTCCACAGTGGCTGTACAAGTTTGCATTCCTACCAACAATGGATGAGAGTTCCCCTCTCTCCACATCCTCTCCAGCATAGGCTATCAGTGGTGTTTTTGAGTTTGGCTATTCTGACAGGTGTAAGATGGTATCTCAAAGTTGTTTTGATTTGCATTTCCCTGATTACTAAGGAGGTTGAGCATGACCTTAAGTGCCTTTTGGCCATTCGAAGTTCATCTGTTGTGAATTCTCTGTTCAGTTCAGTACCCCATTTTTTAATTGGGTTAATTGGAGTTTTAGTGTCTAGTTTCTTGAGTTCTTTGTATATTTTGGAGATCAGACCTTTGTCTGATGAGGGGTTGGTGAAGATCTTCTCCCAGTCAGAAGGTAGCCTTTTTGTCTTACTGACAGTGTCCTTTGCTTTACAGAAGCTTCTCAGTTTCAGTAGGTCCCATTTATTCATTGATTCTCTTATTGACTGCGCTCCTGGGGTTCTGCTTAGGAAGTGGTCTCCTGTGCCTATATCTTGTAGACTACTTCCCACTTTCTCTTCTATCAGGTTCAAAGTGGTCGGATTAATGTTGATGTCTTTAATCCATTTGGACATGAGTTTTGTGCATGGTGATAGATATGGATCTACTTTCATTCTTCTACAGGTTGACATCCAGTTATGCCAGCACCATTTGTTAAAGATGCTTTCCTTCTTCCATTGTATACCTTTAGCTCCCTTGTCAAAAATCAGGTGTTCATAAGTTTGTGGGTTAATACCCGGGTCTTCTATTCGATTCCATAGGTCGACTTCTCTGTTGTTATGCCAATACCAAGCTGTTTTCAATACTGTTGTTCTGTAATAGAGTTTGAAGTCAGGGATGGTAATGCCACCAGAAGTTCCTTTATTGTATAAGATTGTTTTGGCTATCCTGGGTTTTTTGTTTTGCCATATAAGCTTGATTATTGTTCTCTCAAGGTCTGTGAAGAAGTTTGATGGGATTTTGATGGGAATTGCATTGAATCTATAGATTGCTTTTGGTAGAATTGCCATTTTTACTATGTTGATTCTCCCAATCCAAGAGCAGGGGAGGTCTTTCCATTTTCTGGTATCCTCCTTAATTTTTTTCTTCAAGGACTTAAAGTTCTTGTCAATAGGTCTTTCACTTCCTTGGTTAGAGTTACCCAAAGATATTTTATGCTATTTGTGGCTATCATGAAAGGGGATGTTTCTTTGATTTCCCTCTCTGCTTCTTTATCCTTTGTGTATAGGAGGGCAACCGATTTTTTGGAGTTGATCTTGTATCCTGCCACATTACTAAAGGTGTTTATCAACTGTAGGAGTTCTTTGGTAGAGTTTTTGGGGTCGCTTATGTACACTATCATATCGTATCCCCTTGGATATTGGTAGTAGACAAGATTGCCAGGCAAACTAGGGTGCAGGGGGTGGGGGGGGGGTGGGGGGGGTGGAAGTAAGGGGAGATGGTTAGAGAGAAGGGAGAGGGGGAGGATTGGGGATGGCTTGAGGGAATGGGAGGGGGAGGAAGGATGGATATGGGACTAGGGAAGTATATATCTCAACTAAGGGAGCCATTTTAGGGTTTGTAAGAGTCTTGATTCTGGAGGGGTTTCCAGGCCCAAGGAGAGGTCCCCAGATTGTTCCCTGGGCAGCAGAGAAGAGTGTACCTGAACTGGCCCATAACCATACTGATGAATATTTTGTATATCACCATAGATCCTTCATCGGGCGATGGATGGAGATAGAGACAGAGACACACATTGGAACACTGGACTTAACTCCCTAGGTCCAAATGAGAAGCAGAAGGAGGGAGAACGTGAGCAAGAAAGGCAGAACTAGAGTGAACCTTCATCTGACAATAGATGGAGATAGAGACGGAGACCCACATCGGAACACTGGATTGAGTCCCCAAGGTCCAAATGAGGAGCAGAAGGAGAGAGATCATGAAAAAGGAAATTAGAACTGTGTGGGGTGCGTTCACCCTCGGATACAAGGGGACTAATCGAATGAGAGCTCACCAAGGCCAGCTGGACTGGGACTGAACGAGCACGTGATCAAACCGGAGTCTCTAAATGTGACTGACATGGGGGCTGACTGAGAAGCCATTGTCAATGGCACTGGGTCTTGTTTTGTCTGCATGTACTAGCTTTCTGGAATCCTAGTCTGTTTGGATGCTCACCTTCCTAGACCTGGAGGGAGAGGGGTGGAACTTGAACTTCCCACAGGGCAGGAAATCCTGACTGCTCTTAGGACTGGAGAGGAAGGAGGGGAGGGAATTGGGGTGGGGGAGGAGAGGGAGTGGGGGGAATGGGAGGGTATGGGGAGGAGGGGAGGAAGTGGAAATTTTTATAAACAAATAAATAAATTAATAAAAAAATGAAAGAAAAAAAAGAAAGAAAAAGAAAGAATAGGAAGGAACCTTAGAATTGCAACTCCACTTTAGTGACGCTTGGGAGGAAATTCTGTTCATGAGAGCACGGCTTATAGAACACCACTCTCCCATTTAGAACACTTAAAAACACAGAAATATAAATCCGAAAAAAAAATATCAAGAAGGTGTAAGAGGACACCCAAGGCAGACTGAATGCAAGGAAGATGAAGAACCACAAAAGATGAGTTGGCATTTGCTAAGTGCCCCCCTTTTAATCCTAGAGTTATTTTCTAATCTTGGAGGATGAGTGAGGACTGGACAAGAAACTCAAAGCAGAGCGTGGCCAATCTGAGACAGCAAAAGCTCTGAGAAAACACTGCACAAAGTGAGGGTTGGGTTTCCTTGTCTCCTAGGAAGATAGGAGACAAGAATTTCAAAGTCAAGACAAATATTACCCAGACTAAAAGAAATAAACGATTGGTCATCATAAACTGTTAGAAAATGACCAAAGACATAAAGCAAGACCAAAGGGATGAATTACTACAGGCAAACCTACAGAATTTGTTTAAGGACTAACAACTGAATGTCGTGAAGAAGAGAGAAAAAACTCAGAGGGAAATATAGACTTTTTTTTATAGGAGAAAGAAAAAGAATGAGAGGGAAAGAAACCCACTGTTTCAGTGAAGAAAGTGGCAGACATCAAAACAGTATTGTGATCTCAGATGTCCAGTGTCACTGAAGATTAATAACAAAGATAAAGTGAACTTGAAATGTTAATTTGGGTACTGATAAACTGTTAAAAATTTATGGAAGCTTAAAAGGTATCTGTGAGCTCAAGATGTAGTTGTTCACTGCACCTGCTAAATAAAGCAAGTGCTCACAAATGGCTCCTTGTCATTTTCCTATGAATGCCACGGTTTGAACTGGTGGCCATTTCCTCAGACACCTGTAGATTCTGTAAATCCCAAATACTAACAAGGACCCTTACTTGTCTCCATTCATTTGAAACTGCTGTCTATGCTCCAATAAGAGGATAGCAAATGTTGGGGATGTGGAGAAATTTAAAAGCTTGTATAGTATTGG